CGGACGCTCAGTCCCGTGCCGGCAGCGCGGGGGGCGGCCCCGGCCGTTGATTCCTCAGCGGTTCAGGGGTTTATAAAATGAGGGCCGCCTCGCGAGCGGCGCGCTTAGCACGGGGCTGAGGAACCAGCACACGCTGTTGTCATGCTTCTCGAAAAGCCGATGTATCCAAATCTCAACCTGTGAAAATTTAAGTAGAAATGACTTAGCTTTAAGAGGGGAATCCTCTAGAGAAAAGAAGAAATATATATATTAAAGAAAAAAAGGAATAAAAGGGGGAGAGGGAGTCCCCCGAAATGTAATTGCCAACTCGCTCGAATAGAAGGGTCATGAATTCCTTGGAAAAGCTGGGAGCCCGGCGGGCGTGGCTCAGGGCTGGGCGCCCCCTGGGATCCAGGAGATCGCCGTGCGATCCGGCCAGCGGCGGGGATCCCGCCAGGGGCGGGCACGTGCGGGGCTGCGGGCTCGTCCCGGTCAGGCCTGCGGGAGGCCGCCGCTTCTCGCATCGCTGTTGTTTCTCTCTCTCTCTCTCTCTCCCCCCCCTTCCTCTCTCTGAAATCAATAAAGATATATTAAAAAAAGGAAACGTTTTGAACTTTATGGCTGACGTTTATTGGAACTTACTGTGTGCCCTGTACAGGGCTTTTCGTGGATCATCCGGCCACGCAGCCGGTCTGTGGTGTGGGAACTGGATTGTTCCCATCTAAAAATTCATCTTCTACTGTGTTTTGTTTTTTATTTTTATTGAATTTACTGGGGTGGCATTGGTGAACAAAATTATACAGGTTTCAGGAGCACACTTTTATAACACATCATCTGTATGTTGTATTGTGTAGTCACCACCCTGAGTCACTGCTTTTTCCATCCCCATTTACCCCCCTTACCCGCCTCGGCCAGTCCCCAACCCCCTTTCCCTCTGGTCGTCACCACACTGTTGTCTGTGCCAATGAGTTTTTGTTTTTTGTTTTTTTTACTTAACCCCTTCACCTTTTTCACCCAGTCGCCCAACGCCCCTCCCCTCTGGCAGCTGCCGGCCTGTTCCGTGTCTCCAGCCTCTGTTGCTATTTTGTTGCTACTTTATTTTGTTCATTAGATTCCACATATAAGTGAAATCACATGGTACTTGTCATTCTCTGACGGGCTTATTTCACTTAACGGACTACTCTCCAGGTCCATCCATGCCGCTGCAAAAGGCAAGATTTCCTTTNATTCTCTGACAGGCTTATTTCACTTAACGGACTACTCTCCAGGTCCATCCATGCCGCTGCAAAAGGCAAGATTTCCTTTTTTCACAGCCGAGTAGTATCCCACTGTGTACATGCAGCACTGCTTTTTATCCACTTACCCATTGGGCTGCGTCCAAATCTTAGCTATTGTAGGTAGTGCTGCAATGCACACAGGGGTGTATATGTTGTTTCGAATTAGTGTTTCTTTCGGGTTTCTTTGGATGAGTACCCAGAAGAGGAATCACTGGGTCAAAAGGCAGCTCCATTTTTAATTTTTTTGAGGAAACTCCATACTGCTTTCCACAGTGGCTGCCCCAGTCTGCATTCCCACCAGCACTGCCCGAGGGTTCCCTTTTCTCCACACCCTCGCCAGCACTTGTTCGTTGACTTATTGATGGTAGCCGTGCTGTCAGGTATGAGGTGATAGCTCAATGTAGTTTTAAGTCGACGTTGAGCTTCTTTTCATATATCTATTGGCCATCTGTATGTCTTCTATGGAGAAGTGTCTATTCAGGTCCTTTGCCTGATTTTTAATTGGATAGTTTGTAGTTTTGGTGTTAATTTTTTAAGTTCTTTATAAATTTTGGATATTAACCCCTCACAAAAATTCATCCACTTCATCTAATCCCTGGAGTGTACACCTGAAACTAATATAATAATGTATGTCAGCTGTAACTGAAAAATAAAAAGTGATTTAATTTCAAAAAAAAAAAAAGAAAGAAATCTGCATCCTTAAAAAACAAAAAAAAATCTTCCATTTTATAGATGAATTTCTTTAAGGCTGCCCAGCAGGGACAGGACTACATTTGAACCCAGGCAGTTTCAATTGGCCCCAGAGCCTCACCCTTAAATATAACCTAGAAGGCCACTCACAGCCCATTAGGAAGGCATTTGTAGGGTAATTACATGTTAGTTACTTTAATAATGGCAGAAATGAAGGCTAGGATGTTCTTCAAATATTAATCAAGTGACAGACATAAGAATTAGTGAAGGGCACCAGGCCTGTATCATCCTCCGCGAATTTCTGGGCACTGTGTGAGTAATGATACTCTCCTTATTAATGGTTCTATTTCCTGTCCTGTTGTCTCAAATACAGTAGACCCTTGAACAATCTGAGTTTGAACTGCCCGGGTTTACTTAAACATTTTTTGTTTTTTTAATCAGTATGTAGTGGGCCCTCCTATTCCTGGGTTTCACATTCGCGGATTCAACCAACTGCTGATAGAAAACAGTATTACCTTTTGGAAGTTGAGAATCAGCATTTGCGAATTCTCAGACGTGGAGGTCAGACTCAAATAATACCCGGCTTTTCATTTCGAACTGTGCGGGGTGGGCACTCCTAACCCTAGGGTCACCTGTACCTCCCTCCCTAAGCTCTTGAGAGTTAGGAGTTGAAAAGCCTCTGTTTTGAAGTTGGTGTTAGGTGTTGGAAAGTAAGGATTCAGATCATTTTAATAACTTTAAAGGGTCTGGAAAATCCAAATTACTGAAGAAGAAATAAGGCCTAAAAAAGATGGGTGCTGGGGCCAAGGTGATGGAATCAGGATTCAGTGTAAATCCCCTTGTTGAGGTCCCGTCTGCTGCACTGGTTTGGTTTTCATGCCGCACTCCTTTTCACTGCAGACTTTAAAAAGATAGTTGGAAATTTTCTTTTTAAATTATTTTGTCCATTTTTGAAA